CAACAACAACGACATCACCAAGAAGACAACAAAAACAACAAAACGATAACTTATTTTATCCCGCGTGTTAAAAGATTGCACGCTACAACAACTTCTACACACAGTACACTGACTATTGCGACAGCAATAGCAGTAGTAGCCACAACGACAAAGACGACAACAGATACTACTACCACTACTACAACAACAACAACTACTACTACTGCTGCTGCTGCTGCTTCTATAGCTACTTCAGCGACATCAACCACAACAACAAGAACAATAATTTTTTTATCCCACGTGAAAAACTGCGTACTATGGCCATAGCGAGATAAGGCGCAAGATTTATTATACCATTTATTATTATTGTTATTATTAATATTATTGTTGTTGTTGTAGTTGTCGATGTAGTAGCAGCAGCAGCAGCAGCAGCAGCAGTAGTAGTAGTAGTAGTAGTAGTAGTAGCAGTAGTAGTAGTAGTTGTTGTTGTTGTTGTTGTTGTTGTTGTTTGGGTTGTTGTTTATTATGATGACGTTGCTGATTTTGTTTTTGTTGAGGTTTCTTGTGATGTTGTTGTTTGTTGATGTTTCTGGTGTTTCTAACAATGTTGGCAGATAATTAACGTCATCAACGTTGTTGTTTTTGATGATGTTGTTGTTGTTGTTGATGTTGTTGTTGTCTATTTGTTTGAAGTGATATTTTCATTAGAAGTTACTTAAATGAGCTTGATTTGATAATGGTTAATTGATATTAATTTATTTGCAAATTTACATTTTTAAGATAAAAATTACATTATTATTTATATATTATCTTTTATTTACTCTAAAATTAATTAAGTAATCGGCAAAACTTAAAATTTACAACTACATATTGTTCTTTGTTTAATTTGTATATAGGTAATATTTTAAAATTAAGTTTTCTTTGTTTACGTGAGCGATAACAAGCGTTACTCTGTTCTCCGTGTTTAATCGAATTTTTCGTTAAAAATGTATCTAATGTATTATTTAAACGAAAAAAATGAGCGAGTGTATACGCTGAATGTTAGTTTTTTATAATTCAATTTATAAATTATTTTTTTTGTCTTGTAATTTTTGATAAATTTAAATGTCGTTCTGCCATGTGATTCCCTTTGGTGGCCATTATTTTTATTTATTTTATTAAATTAAAATTATTTAATTAAATTAAAATTATTTTTGCCATTTATCATTATGGCTTTTGATTTCAACATTTGATAAATTTATCAATTAATTAAAAAAATTCTTCAATTGTTATTTAATATTTATTTATTTATCTATATATCATTTCTATATCACACAATCTGTAACTAATTTTTTTATAATTTTCACACCTAATTTTCAGAAAACGTCCCCAGATGGCAAACCGACGATCTCTGCCCACCCGGCCAGGTTTTCCCCGGACGACAAATATTCCCGCCAGAGGGTTCTGTTGAAAAAGAGATTTGGGCTACTATTGACCCAGCAACCAAAGCCAATAATTTAATTTAATAATTATTTTTTATTTTTATTAATAATAATTTTCGTTAAACATTAAATGGTTATCGAATTTGTTTTTTCAAAATTCCATTTCATTTGAAATAATCTGTTATATGTTAACTATCCTAATATATGTAGGTACATAATATCCGAATGTACGTGTATATATATATATATATATATATATATATATATATATATATATATATTATTTCTGAGAGTAAACTGTCTACAATAGTAATATTAATGTTGATTATATAATTAGTATAACATTCAAACAGTGTGGATGTGGATGCGCGTGTGGTTGTGTGCTTGTATGTTTGTTCGTCTGTTTATGTGTTTATTACAGTAAAAGTTTACTTGACTATGCTAACAAATTGTAATAGAATGTAAGAAACATCAAAAACATCTAAAAATATTTTGAGTCCGTTTTTTTCACTTTCTTCTCTCTTGTTCTCTTTCTTTCTCTCTTTCTCTCTCTCTTTCATAAATAATTTGTAGCATTAAATCATCTTTTCATCAAAAAACTTAACAGAATATCGAATTTTTAAGAATTTTGTAAAATCAAATGAAATGAATTATTGAAATATTAGAGAAACATAGTGTTAATGTTGAGTTTTTCATCGTATCTCTCTCATCTCTTTCTCTCTCTCTCTCTCTCTCTCTCTCTCTCTCATTCTTTCTTTCTTAAAATTTTCTAATCACGAACACCGATTGAATATCAAATTTTAAAAACTCCGTAGAATGAGATGAAATTAAAAGATTTTTTTAATCTTTCTCCATCCTAATGAGATGAAATTAAAAGATTTTTTTAATTCCTGAGTCCTTCATCTCTCTCTCTTTCTTCTGACATACCGAACGAATATGTAATCTTAAAATAGTGAGAAATCACAGAGGCGAAGTGTAGTAAGAACCGACGGGTCGACCATCTGAATGCTTACATACCGACCGATTTGCGATAAAATGCACCTCAGAGTTACCGGCCCGGTACTTTCGGTGATGGTGTCCGTGTAGAGGATGCACAGTGGGTTCGTTTCGAAACCAGCATTCATACCGAATTCGTCAGACTTGTTACCGATACGAATCTCGAACGCTCCGACGCTACCTGTGGAAAAGTTTTTTTTGTAATGCTTTTATTTGGCTGGAGGAGTGTTAAAAACAAGAAAAACTGTATATTACTATTGTTATTTATCTAAGTTGTTAACGTTGCTAAATGTTATTGCTGTCTTTATATCATTTTTAACAGTTTTAAAAGTGTCATTCGCAACTATGAATTTTTTTTTATATGTATCTATTATTTATATATTATATTTATATTTTAATTTATATTTCATAACACACATATACACAGACACTCACACATACACGTACAAAAACACATACACGCGCGCGCACACACACACGATTGACCAACCATATATTTTAACTCCTGTAATTTCAGATGGAGTTCTGAGATCGACTTTCCACCAGGATCCCGATGTGAATCCCGTCTGGGAACAACTTCCTTTCGGATCGGGATCATAAGCTCTTTGGCAGAAATCATCGTAAAGGGTTGAGAATTGATAGCAGGTCCATGTATCTAATGAGGAGGATGATGAGGATGAAGATGATGATGTTGGTGAAGATGAGGATGAAGAAGAAGATGATAATGGTGGTGAAGAAGAGGATGGTGATGCTAGTTGCGATGACGATGATGAGAATTATGTAGTGATGATGGTTGTGGTGAAATTCGCGACGTTGATGATGATGGTGATGTGATGATGATGATGAGGACGATTGAATGGGCTTAATAATGATACAATACTACTACTACTACTACTACTACTACTAATAATAATAATAATAATAATGGTAATAATCTCACTTTTGTTTGGAATGCAATCAACTCTAGCCATCAACATCATCATCATAATCGTCAACATTATCATCGTCATCATCATCAAAATTCAACAACAACAATAAAATAATCTTATTATTATAGTTAATAATAATAATGATAATAATTAAATTTATGATTGCTATTAATTATTATTTATTTTATAAATTTAAAATATTTCCAATGTAGAAATATCTTTCGCCCGGAATTTTCAGCTTGGCAAACAAATGCAGAAAAATGCTTGTATATATATATATATATATATATATATATATATATATATATGAATGTATGTGTGTATGTATGTATATATGTATGTATGAATGTATGTATGTTTGTATGTAGGTACTGATATATTTAGCATAACAATTTACTTTATATAAATATTTACTGTCCTGGTGAACATGGAAGAGAATGATGATGGCGACGACGACGATGAAGATTTTGATGATGACAATGATGATGACATGGTTCACGGTGATGATAATCATGACTGTTTTTTGCGTGCATTTGATTCGTAATAGGGGTAAACCATTTTTAGAAAAAGCTTTTAAATCTTTTAAAACACCCAAACTTCTATTTCAGCCAAAACGCACTGGAAATTTTAAATTAGGATAAAATATCTGCTATCTGCGTCAGCAACATGGGGCTCGCTTAGGGCTGAACCACCCCCTTCACAGTAGAAAATATAGCCAGGTGCTAAAGCACCCCATCCTGATTTGCATAAAAAAGAATTTAAGATTATTGACAATTGATTTTCATTGACTTTTGTACCGGTAATATGTTTAGCGAGTTTTGTTCATGTTCTATTAGGACGCTATTTCATGTTTTTACGTCAATTCAGTTAAGATAAAAATATATAAATGTTAAAAGAACGATTGTGAAAGAGAGAGAGAGAGAGAGAGAGAGAGAGAGAGAGAGAGAGAGAGAGAGATGAAAAAATGAAAAAACAAAAACAGGCTAATGAATGAACGAATGAATGAACAAAAAAGCGGATGAATAAGTTTATAATGAATGAAAGAATTAATAAATGAATGATAGGTTGATTGGATGAAAAATGAATGAATATATACGAACGAAAGAAAGAATGAATGAATGAACGAATGAGTTAATGAATGAAATCGGTAATGACCATTTTAACGGTTGATAAGGTAACATGAAACACAATATACAAAAAAAAGTTATAATTAATCATTTCTTGATACTTTTACAGAACATAGCGACAACAACAAACAACAACAACTCCCATAATTATTACTGTTATTTTTTTATTATAGTTGTTATTGTTATTACTACTATTCCAATATTTTTCTATTTTGTGAACAAAGAAAAACATCGGCACGTTTAATTGATGTTTTGTATGTATGTACGTCCGTTTGTGTATTTGTATGTTTGTTTTTTTGTATGTTTGTTTTTTTGTATGTTTGTTTTTTTTGTTTGTTTGTTTATACGTTTGCTTGTACATTTTACGTATGTACACGTAATCTTTTTGCACACATACATGATGACCAACTACTATAACTACAAACAAACATAAACATACAAACGAACAAACAAACGACATACAAACAAACACAAACATACATACATACAAACACAAACAACAAGAAACTCCTTAGAGATATACTTTGCTTTGCCTTCCCAAAACAATG